GCAGCAGAGTCCCCAGCACGTGCACTCTGCCGTCACACGGTCCTGCACACTCAGCCGTTCTGCCAGGCTCACTGGGAGCTTCCTGGAGCAGGGACAGGCTCAGATGCGTCTTGGAGACCTCAGGACCCCCAGCTCGGGCCTGAGCCCCACGCAGGCTCCAGAGGTGTACCCTGAACTGAGACGGACTCTGAGGCTCAGCCCAGGGCCCCTGTTTTGTGGGAGGGGCAGAGGCTGTGTATGCTTGGCAGGAGAGCACAGGGCAGGGGACACGTGGTCCCTGTCCCTAGTGTGTGGTGGCTGCACTAAGTGCCTGGGCTCTGCAGCATCCCAGTCTTCTCTATGCCAGCCCGTGAGCAACTCACCATGGTGGGGACTGTCCTAGTCACCAGTGTCCCCAGCAACAAGAGCAGTGGCTATACGATGGTCCCTCTCAACTGCAGTTCCCTTCCCAAAGATTCAGCTGATTGCATTCAACTTTATTCCAAATACACCAAGTGGATGACCCAGAGGTCCACAAATCGAGGCTGTGGGGGCTGGCCCAGTGCTGCGCGTACAGGCCCTGGAGCCATCCCCAGGACCACAAAACAAATCAATGAAACTTGAAGGGTTTTAGATCGTGCACTGAGTGCCCACGGCACATCATCCACAGGTGCACACCACGTACTCCCCCATCCACCGGACACTCGGTGGCCATCTTGGGCATCAGATAGACTATCATGGCTGCCGCTGTGTTCGAGTAACACTGTTTATTGACGAGTGTGATGCCGACAGTCAGAGAATGCCCCGACTACAGTGCCGACATGGTAAACCACCCGACCACAGTCTGCATGCACAGGAAAGAGCATCGCAGGCACGGGCGCAGGGCCGCTCAGGGTTCTGGGCATCCACTGGGGCCAGGAGGGGGGCGTTGCTCGAGGTCAGAGGGCAGCACACATTCCTCTTTCCAAAGGAGCTCCTGGGACGCCCACATTGGACTGTCACCCAACTCCACAGCCTGGGTGGCTCCCCAGCCCGTCCCCAGGATGCTGTCCCGTCCCCAGGATGCTGTCCCGTCCCCATACCTTTCTGTCGATGGGTGACCAGTAAGACGCGGCCATACCGGCCCTGGCCCAGGGGACGCACCTCCTGGTAGAGCTGGTCCACCTCAGCATGGACCAGGGTCTGGGCGCTCAGTGCCATCATGTCCTCCAGGGCCAGGGCGGCCTCCTGGCCCTGCTGGAGTTCCTCTGGGGTGAGGCCCCCGAGTCCTTCCTCGGTGCCATCTTCTGCAGCCCCAGCCTCCACTGGCCTTTCTACAGGCTGCTTGCCTGGCATTTCTGCAAGAGACACAGAGAGACCAGCCGCAGCTGCCACGAGGGCCAATGGAGAGGCTGGGCCCAAACACCCGGGTCTGAGGGGGGAGGCTGGGCCTGGACCCCGGGTCTGAGGGAGGGGGCTGGGCCTGGACCCCGGGTCTGAGGGAGGAGGCTGGCCTGGACTCCTGGTCAAATGGAGGAGGCTGGGCCTGGACTCCTGAGTTTAGGGAGGTAGATGGAGCCTGGAAACTTGGGTCAGAGGAAGCCACTGAGCCCCAGGGTCTGACTTTTGTCTGGCCACGGCCAGTTCTGGGATTCAACGCACGATGTCGCTCTGGCCCAATGGGTGCAGAAGGGGCGGGGCTGGGGGTGGGGCCTTGCGACCCCCAAGTTGGGGGCGGATCCTGCTCCCTGTGCAGGCTGCTGCTGGCATGGGCTCTAAGTACTGGGCACTCACCACTGCAGGCTACGGAAGGGTCTGGCAAACCTCGGAGAAGGTGAGGTCCATGGGGCTCTGAACCCAGGTCAGGGGGAGGCAAGGTTAAAAGGCCCAGGGGGGCAGCACAGGAACAGGAAGGGAGTCTGTGGCCAAGGTCCTGTGGCCCTCAGCAGCGCACAGGCTGCACCTTGAGGCTGCGGAGCGGATGAGAGCTAGAGGCTAGAATTGAGGGTCACTATTTGTGTGACTTGTATAAGGTCCCAGAAGAGGAGTGGGCTGGGCCTGGACCCTGGACCCTGGACCCCTGGGTCTGAGAGAGGAGGCTGGGCCTGGAACCTGGGTCTGAGGGAGGGGGCTGGGCCTGGA